CATACTTAGCAACGTTTCAGAGGCCAGAGAGTCCTCCGTCGAGGAGACTTCTCCCAGGGCCTTGACACTCTCTTGGCTAGTTTTTCCCAAAAGGCCCATGGACCCCGCCGGAAGATTCCAGTGAGGAACCTGGGGACCCAGGCTAGAGGAGGGGCTGCAGGCTGCCGGCCCTTACCACCCAGCCGTCTCTTTCATCTTGGTTTATAGTTTGGGCATCAGGTGAAAGTTCACCTATGAAACGGCTTTGCCTACTTTGAAAAGAAATTTTGGGAAAGTTCTGCTCTTGAATAATCTCTTCATTTACTAGTGAGGAGATGGGGCCCAGAACAGAGAAAAAGAAGCTGGTCTCAGCGGAACCCAGCGGAACTGGGTTCAAATCCAGGCCGGGTAATGTGGCCTGGGTGGTACTGCTTCCCCCTCAGACCTCAGCTTCCTCCAGGGGGACAAAAACACACCAAGACTCAGTGACTTCAGATTCTCCCTGGGTGAGAAAAGTAGACATGGGCCCCACTCCTTAGCCGGGGACCACGGGCTGCGGCAGGAGGACACACAGGAAGTCAGCCTGCCTCTCCCTGCCATCTCCTGGAACAGCGGGAATGCGCAGCCCGCTCCTGCCCAGGCCTGGGCCAGCTCGTTCCTGGGAGGTCTGCTCAGCACCAGACCTCACCGTGCCCTGGGCGTGTCCAAGGGCCAGGAGCAAACCCAGCTCAGATGCCTCATCACCGAGCCAGCCTGGAGACGGCGTGCGGCTCGGATGGACGCTCGGAGCTGGAGCTGCAGGGAACGTGGACCCCGCCTGCCCACTGGTGAGGCTGCCAGCGACCCTGCTCCTAGATTTCCACGGCTTTGCAGGGCTGACGGCGATTCTATGATCCCTCAGGAGCATGGGTTCTTTCCTGATTTTTGCTCAGCCATCCTGAATGGGTGACTTTTGTCCTCAGGGACACTGTGTCCTGGGGACACACAGTGGCCATCCCACCTTTAGGCCGCTTCCCCATTGCAGGCAGGAAGAGGGGGATGGAGGCACCCCCGCCTGTCTTGTCAGAAAGCTTCCCAGGAGTCCCCTTGGCCGGTGTGCCTTCACTGTCCTGGTCCTACCCAGACCCCAGGGCCACTCTGGCTGTGAGGAAGCTTAGGAGCTGCTTCCCTCTAGCCGGCCCTGGTCACCTCAGAGAGAACGGGGTCTGCAACCAGGAAGAAGGGGGGGCGGGGGGGGCAAGTGTCACCAGTACAAGTGCTCGGGGACGCCACGGAGGATGTGCGTTTGTTTCTGTGTCCCCTCTGCCATCACCCGCATGGGCTTCTGTCCCAGGACAGCCCTGCAAGGGTGTCCCCTTCCTGAATCCAGGTGCGGATGCCCCCTCAGCCTGAAGAGGGGCCTCCTTTGGGGAGAATAGTTGACCAGGGCAGCGCAGGGCTTGATGCCCCTCTGGACACTGGGGTTTCATCACTGTGACCCTCTCTCAGCTCACGGCCAGCTCGCTTCCATCCCGGCCTCCCGTCAGTGGGCCTCGCTGGGCCCCCGTGGTGGCTCTGTGGGTTGGGGACCTGTGGACCTACTTCCCGCTCAGCTGAGGCCACAGCCGGCTGGGTTCACCGCGGCCCGGCGTGCCCCAGTCCTTCTCCCGGGACCAGCTGGGCCTGTCCGTCGTGGTGGCAGGGCCTGAGAGGAACGTGGAATCGCACAGGTCTTTGGAAACCTAGTGTCAAACGGGTGACTTTGCCACTTCCTCTCATCCCGCTGGTGAAAGCAGGCGGCATGGCTGAGCGCGAATCACATGTGGAAACGTGCTCAGCCCTGATGGGGCAGGGACTGCACGGCACAGGGTGCGGGGTCCAGCGGCTGCGGGCTCGCTGTGTGCGGTTCCCCGCCACCTCTGACTCCTCCAGCTGTCTCCACGGGTCCTGCTCTTGCTGCTTCCGACACGGGGGTCCTCGAGGGCCCGTCCACATTTTCTTTCTCAGTGTGGGGTCTCTAGGGTCTTGAGGGCCCGTATACCCCCATGGCATCAGTGACCCCTGGATCTGTAGCTCCACCCTCGGCCTCTCTCCTGCCTCCAGCTGCCACGCGGGCACCTCACTGAGCCCCAAACCTTTTCCACTCTGACCCCAACACCCTCAGCCCCGCCCCAGACGCCCTCCTCCAGTACCCCAGCGCTTGTACCCTTGCTGTCAAGGTTCCCTCGTATCACTACTGACAATGACCTCTGCTGGGCACTTCCTAGGTGCCAAGCATGTGCCAACCCCTGTGCAAATATTGCTTGATTTATCCTTCTAAGGGACACCCTCTATCCAGTGGTCCCGGTGCCATGTAACACTCCAGGGCCTTGCCTCCCCCATGTGCAGTGTCTCTGAGCTACACAGGCGCTGTAAACCCTAGCCCCAGACCCTTCGAGATTCTCCCTGCCCTACCAACCTGAGCCAAGCTCCTTGATCTGAGTAGCTGGCTCCCAGGTGCTCTCATTTATCATGCACAGGAAGAAATTATTGCGTTCATTCCATGTGCCAGGCATCACAGAAACGCCACATCCATGGGTACTTAGGCCTAGCAGCAATAAACAAAACAATAAATCTCCAACATGTCAGGGAGTGACAAAGAGCTATGAAGAAAAATAAAACAGGGTAAAGGGATAATTGTTTTGGCAAAGTGGGAGCCAAGGTCAGCCTCTGCAATAGGAAGGCATTGCAATGAAGTATGAGCGCAGCAAGTGCAAAAGCCCTGAGGCAGGAAGGAGTTTAGGGAGGTCGGCAAGATGGGTGTGGGAGAGGGAGGAGGTCCCAGGAAGGGCTTGGCTTCTCCGCTGAGTGTAGTGGGACCCATCGGGGATTTTGAGTGGTGGAAGGATGGACCCTGACAGGTTTCCACAGGATCCCTACGACTTCGTGGATAACAGTTTGCGTAGGGGCCAGGATGGAAGCAGAAAGCTGAGTATTGCAGGTCTCGTGATGCTTAGGTCACAGAAAGGATTCACCAGGCTGAGTGACATTTTAAGAAGCACAGGAAAACCTAACAGGATTTTCAAGTTAACCCCACTCAGGCAGCAGACACAGCCACCTGACGCGCCCTGGCCCGGGCTCCCACCCGCTGCCCCCTCTGCGGTGTTCTGGGGTTGCTGATCTGTGGTGCTGGTGTTGCTGGCAGGTTCCCCCACCACACACACCTTGGGGGCGCACCACAGAGGGTGCGAACCTCTCTGCACCCCCAGTGTGGTCCAGATGACTTCAAAGCCGAGTACAAACCCTGATGCTCTTAGTTCTTCAAAAACAAGAGCTGGGCCGGTGCACGCCATATCCCCCCGTGCCACACTCCCTTATCTCACCGGGAGGCTCCAAAGAACACAGCATATTTATGTTTGTGGTTTGGGTTCTCAAAACCTGTGACATCAGATAAGTGCGACACTCACAAAAGCAAACAGCAGCACAGAGAAGGAAAAAAAACCACCGGAAGAGAATCCCCGGTCGCTCCTTGGGATGGGGCCCCTTCTGCCCAAGGTCGATCCACGTCCCGGTGGGGGCTGTCTGTCACCGCTGACCAGCTCACGGCTCGGCCCTCAGGGTCGGACCCCCTGAGCCTTAGACTTTCCTCTGCAGAATGGAGATGCTCATCTCTACTCTTTGGGGCTAATTAAAAAATGCAAGAAAAATGGTAATTACAGTATACTGATATGGCTAATCTTTGGACCCCCGAGTTCCATAGATCATTCGCTTGTGAAGTCTTCACATCCGCCTGTGTGTCACGGTCTCGAGGGTGGCTGCTAAGACCATCTGCAGTTGACAGGTGGGGAAACTGAGGCTCGGAGTAGTCAAAGAAGGCAGTTGACAAAATACTACCTATGTTTCTTAGGAAGCGCAAATGTATAAAATACAAATTAAATAAAAAACAAGACATGTAAGTATAAGATAGAATTAGACAAAAAAGTCTGGCAGGCTGTGTGTCCTGAGATCACAGTGGTTTTCCTGCTGCCAGGGTCCCAGAGAGAAAGGGTCCCCTGGCTGTGATGGTCTTGTTATTCCTCTCCTGGTAAAGGTCCCTTACCTTGAAAGGCCCCTCCCAGGCCCCTTTCACCGCTGTCACCTGACTTCTCTCCTTGCGCCAGTCACCTGAATGCACCCTACTTTCTTTTTTTTGAGACAGGGTCTCACTTTATGGTTCAGACTGGCCTTGAGCTCACTTTGTAGTCCAGGTTGGTCTCGGACTCGCGATGATCCTCCTGCCTCAGCCTTCCGATGCTGGGATTACAGGCATGCGCCACCATGCCTGGCTTGCACCTTTCTTTCTTATCTGTGCTTGGACTGTGGCTTCTGCCCAGAGCTAAAGCACCCAGACAGAGCAAGCGCTGCACAGCCCGCAGTTTTGCGGGGCTCGGTGGTACCTTTGGCCCGTTATTTTAAAATTTTGCTTTGCTTCTTAAAAAGCAATCTGCTCAGGGGTTTTTTTTTCCTTATTGCGAGCTCTTCAGAAATGAGCTGGCAGAGCCTCGCAGGAAGGCGTGTTCCCGGCCCATCTGGGGAGTGTGGAGGAAGTGGCCAGGGGTCAGGCCGCGAGCAGCCCGCACGCCTGCCAGGCGTGGCCTGAGGTCTCCGGCCGGAGATCTCCCTGTCCTGTACAGGTTATCTCTGAGTAACAGTGTGTGCAGCTGCCCCGTGGGGGAGGCTGCCCTGATTCCCAGGGGGCCCAGGGAGCCCCAAGACAAACAGCCCGGTGGGGGTGGGTGGGTGCTCAGCCAACACAGTACCAACAGCTTGAAATTTTGCCATCACTTTGAAACTCAAGAGATTTCAGAAGAAAACAAACCACCAGCAACATAATTGTCCCAAAACCCATAAAATAAGATGAGGACAAATGGACAGGAAAATTTCACATCCCTTTTATTTTAATTTCATTTACTTATTTATTTAGTTGTTGTACTGGGGATGGAACCCACGGCCTTCACACTGGGCTATATGCCCAGACTTTTAAACATTTTTTTAAAAAAATTTTGAAACAGGATCTTACTAAATTCCAGTGTTGTCCAGGTTGGGCTCAAACTTGAGATCTTCCTGTTTCAGCCTACCAGAATGGATTTCTCATCCTTCAAATGTCAGTTCTGCCAACAAAGATAAACTTAACTGGACTTCAAGTAATGGGCTCACAGAATGTTTTTAATTGGATAAAATAATCTTCAAGTTCACAAAAAAAAAGCATGAAATATCGGACCAGTAGGAAGAATTAGGACAAAGGTAGTACCCATGGGAAAACATAATATTTAATCCAAGATGACTGCATAGCACACCATCAGCAAAAGTAATAATAGATTCCCATCTCCGGGCATGTATATATATCACCCGAGATTTCACATAAAACATCTGGAATTCTGGCTTGTTCCCAAAGCCTGGCCACACTGGGCCCTTACTTTTGCAAAGCAGTGGGGCAATTCTGGGCTCACCGGCCCACCCCAGTCCCCGCCTCTCTCTACGGCCTCCCACCTGGCCGCCTGCAAGCCTCTGTGTGCCTCGTTTGGCCGCTGTGGGACCCTCCCCCTGCAACTGAAGCATTTCAGTGCTCAGGCTTCCAAAAAGAAAGGAAAAGAAGAAGGGAGGAGGTGTGCAGAGCGGAGGGCTTGATTTCACCTTTGATCTCTTTTTTTGTCAAAAAAGGAGGGGAAAACCAATAAACAGCCGGGGCCTGCTTTGATTTTACTGTTTGTGGGCCAGGCCAGCGCTGTTAAGGGTGTCAGTCTGACTGGGCAGCTCCACCGTCCTTTGGCCTTTAGAGTTTGGGACCTTAAGGCCTCCCCTCTGCCCGGCCACCAGTGCCCACCACTCACTTCCTTCTCGCCTTTTCTGGCAGTATGCACCCGCGGCGGGAGGAAGACGAACACTTGAACAGCTCCTTGGGTTTGGAAGCGGGAGGAGGGACCTGGAAAGGGCCTCTGAGCACATTAGGAGCCCAGTCAGCAGGTCCCAAAAAGAAGCCGCCACACTGGGGACTTCTGTGAAAATGGAACCCTCTGTGCTTTGCCCAGGGTCGCAGCGGGCGGCAGGAGAGAAGCCCTCGGAGGAGTCTGAGCCAGGTCGCCACCGGCAGCGGGGGCAGAGGTGGCCCATGGTGGCTGATGTCTGGCTCTGAGCCTGTCGCTCTAGCTGTGTGCCTCTGGGCAAGAGATGGCCCTGTCCTCCGCGGTTTCCTCATCTGCCCTAGCAACGGCCTCATGGGATTGTTCAGGGTTAAATGCGGCAGTGCTCGTCGGGTGCCTGGCACGCTGTAGGCGCTCAAGACAGACACTAGTAGGATTCAGCAGACACCAAGGAAAGTCAGGCCTTGAGAGCAGAAAGACGAGGGGATCCACGTGACCTTTCCGAAGGCTCCCGGGGTCCTCACAGTCCACAAGGTCAGGAACCAGAAAGAGCAAGCTCAGCCCGGAGTCCGCATGACAGAGGCCGTTTCCTCCGCACTGCTCCAGGGCCCTTGCTGGTCGCTAAGGCAGAAGGGCGGAGAGAAGAGTCGCGGGGTCAGGGGTTTCCTCCTAGCTCTGTCCTTCCTCACTGTGTGACCCCTGTGTCCTAACCTCGTTTCGGCACTGGGGGCCACAAGGAGAGGCATTTAGTCAGCACTCGATCCATGAGCAAAAGCCACAGCTCCTTCAATGACAAGACGCAGGCAGCAGGGACGGCAGAGGAGGAACGGATGGCTCTGAGAGCTCCAGGCCACCTCACCTCCATGGCCCGTCCCTGTCCTCCCGGAGCTAGGAGCTCTCCTTGTTTTGTGACCCCTGAGCCCCCAGGGTGAGGGAGGTGCTGGCGTATAATGAGCATTTGCTCAGGGAGCATACAACTCTGGCAGCTCCGCGGAGCCCCCTCCCCCTGAGAAAAGACTCAGTTTCCAGGGAACTCATCGGAGGCCACTCAGCCTCCCTGCGCCCCGAGGAAGTCTGCTATTCCCTCTTGACCATGGGTTTCTTCCATGTAGCAGGGCGGGGCACGGGGATCCCCTCGAAGTCACCCTTCCTCGGGCCTAGGCAGGGGTACGTGATCCGTTTCCTCTCTCCCCGGTCAGTGACAGACACAGACCTGAAGCCCGAGGCTCACCTGGCTGCCAGTGTGCGCGTGCGTGCGTGCGTGTACTGGGTACCTCTCTTAATTTTGCATTATTTACCAGCATTTAAAAATTGGAGATTGCACATGAAAATCAGAATGTCCAGCTTCTTTCAGAGTCAGCAGCCCTGGCCACCCAGGACCCTCCCTCCTGGGGGCTCCTCATGAAGCCCCCGCTTGCTGCAGGGGGACCAGGCCACCAGCTCTCTCTGTACCACGCTGGCCTCCTCCGTCCACTCGGCCTGGTGTTTCCAGGGAAGGCCGGGGGTGCTGGGTGGAGCTGGCCCTGCCCTTGTGATGGGGAGACTTATGGCCCCAAAGGAGTCGGCACCCTCACCCCTGCAGCCTGTGAACACGGCGCCCTGCACGGTGAAAGGGAGTTTGCAGGTGTGAGCGAATGAAGGCCTTGAGACCAGAAGCTGAACTGGATTATCTGGTGGGCCCAATGTCACCCCCAGAACTTAAGGAAACGAAGGTCAAGGCGGCAGAGGCGGAGAAGGAGCTGGGACAACAGGGCAGGGCTCAGGGAGGCTCCCGGAGGGGTGGTCTGCGGAGGGATCTGAGGCCCAGTGAAAGGGCAGGCGGAGGGCTCCCCTGGGAAACACAGGGACCCTGGCAAGAGGGCACGAGTTCTTGCAGAGCTGATGGGGACCCACCTGGCCCACGCTGGGAAGAGGGGCTGCTCTGGGCACCCCAGGCTCAGCCACTCACTGTCTGTGTGACCTTGCATGACCTACAGTGCCGCTTGGGGCCTCAGTGCCTCATCTGTAGAAGGGCAGGAGCGACAGCACCCATCTCCGGGGGGTCCCAGGGACTCTGCGTTCGCGTGGTGCAGGGCGGTGCTGGCCTCGGGAGGGTGTGCGAGTGTGAGCCGTGTCACTGCCATGACTGTGGGGAGCGCAGCCCTGAGTCTCAGGGTCCTCCCACACCAAGCCTGGGACAGCCTGGAGGTCAAGGGAGGAGCCCCTGTGCCCCAAAGGTTCCCCGGCCCGTAGTTCCTCTGCCACCTTCCACCAGAGCTCGGGTCCTGTGCCCCCACTCCCATGCTCCCCATGGGGCCCTTGCACAGCCCACCGTCCTCCAGAATCTAGTTCTGCCCTCCCTTTCCCACTTGAACTGCTTCCTCATCAGGGCCATTCGCAGGGCGCAGTCCTGCTCGTTTCTCCCTTCCAACCGCTAACAAGAACGACCCTGCTTAGCTCCCGATGTCAGACGCGATCAGGCGTGCTGAGGGTGGTACGGCCGTAGATTCCTGTTTGTTTCTCTTTCTCAAATGCACACATTAGGGCCTGGGGTCTTCATTCATTCGTTCGTTCATTCATTCATCCAGCACAGCCCATTGACTCCCTCTCCTGCCCATGGGTGCTAGAACAGGCAAAGATCTCCCTGGTGGTGCTCACATTTCAGGGGTGGGGAAGGGAGGAGCAGATAATACATAAACCTGCAAAGTCTACAAACTGTCCCTTGTATACACAAATTCCCATGCATACAACAGTCACACTGTGAAATATTTATCACCATTTTCCAGGAGAGAAACCCAAAGCCCAGAGAGAGAACGTGAGTGTCCCAAAGTCACACAGGTAGGAAAAGTCCAAGATGGGATTTGACCCTGCACCTGTCGGACTCCAGGGCCAGTGCCCTTGCCCTCCCTGGGAGGCCGCTGGGACGCAGGCCCAGGCTATCCGCAGCCCTCTGCCTCACTGGCAGCGAATTCCAGAAGCTGCATGGTGCCCGGGGCTGGGGTGCTGGTGTCTGGGAGGCCGGCTCATTCCCACAAAGGAATCTTAGGCAGGGTGAGCTCTGCCCTCCCCTTCAGCAGCCTCAGACTGGGAAGGCCAAGTGCACGGTCACTCTGGCCAGAGCCGACGGGAACAGGACGTCCCGGCCCTCCGCCCTGGCTGGCCCAGTGAACTATTTTGGGGCACGATTATTGATGACATGGGTACTGAGCTGGACTCTGAAATTAAGAGGAAGGCTGGGGCTGGCGCAGGATGGCTCTGCTTCTTCAGGCCCCTGGCTTTCCTGAGCAACTCACCCGTGTCCGGTCTGCACCCTAGGCTGAGGCTATAGCCTGAGCCGGCTGGCTCCGGGAGGGACACGAGTCCACACAGACCACTGTCACTCCAAATTCTGGCTCCAGCTTCAGTCTGTAGGCAGGCAGGATGCAATGAAGACAACAGCAGCTTTCAAGGCCCGATCCGGGTTCCAACCCCAGCTGTGTGCCTTTTAACAATTTTACCTCTGCCAAGCCAGGTCAGCTCTTAGAGACTCAGTCTCCTTGCCTGAAAAATGGAGTTGATAATAATCCTCACTTGAGCAGGGCAAGGTAGTGCATACCTGTAATCTCTGTACTCAAGAGGCTGAGGCAGGGGAGTCGAAAGTTGAAGGCCAGCCCAGGCCTGTTGGACTATAAAAAGGACTGGGGATATAGCTCAGGGCTTCCTTGGTTCAGTCTCTCATACAGGACAATAAAATAACAAAACAGGGATAATCCTTGCTCACATGGAAGGGAGGAAGCTTAAATTAACACATGTAACCCAGAGCCTGGAGTACAGCAAATGCACAATAATGAATAATGACTTTGCAGAGGGTGACTGACAGCTGACATTTATGGGGAGTTTGGCCGGTGCTGGGCACTGGAAGAGTTACTGAGGTGCTTTTATCTCTCTTCGTCCCCCAGCTGGCCCCAATTCCAGCGGCCGGATGAGAGACTCCTCAGGGGCCATCGCTGTCCCTCTGCACAGATATGAAAACTGAGGTTCAGCGACATAAATGGTCACCCGAGGTCACACAACAGGTTGGGGCAGAAAAGCCCAAAGGGGGAAGTTCAGCCTATTGTCCCTGGGCCAGGCCAGAGAGCTAGGCTCCATGTTCCCTCCCAAGAGCCCTGGGTTATGGCCCTGTCAGCTCTCCAGCCCACATCATGTGGGGTCGCCTCGCTTACCCTCCTATCCCCGGACTGCAAGCCAAACCTGATGCTGGGCATCTGGAGACAAAGCTTGCAGAATATTTTCTGAATTCTCTTCCCTCCCCCTTTGTTTGGTTCATTGGCAAAAATAATCTCCAAGAAACAGGCTAGCTTGGCGCAGGCTGTGGGCTACTCTGAGGGCATGTGCCTGGGTGGGGCGCTGGGGGCCGGCAGGGGCTTGTCCACCTGGGCAGCCGAAGACTAGAAGGTGCCACAGCCTTTCCTTGCAAAAGTGACCTTCGAGGCCTGCACCTGCTTATAACTCACCTACTGCCCTGAGGGTGCAGTTGACCCCCTCCAACTGGCGGAAGCAGCCATCTGTGATCTGCCCTCTGCTTGCCTGACCTTCTTGCCTGTCACTGGACTCCTCCAAAAGACCTTCTTCCTGGCTGCTATGTAGCTCAGTGGTAGGATGTGTGCTTAGCACGCAAGAGGCCCTGGGTTCCATCCTAGCACTGCAAAAGAAGGGGAGGAGAAGGAAGAGGAGGGGAAGGAGAGGAAGAGGGAAGAGGAGGAGGG